TGTCACCAGCCCTGGTTTCCCCAGTGTCATCACCCCTGTGGTATCAGTGCCACTACTGCCACCAGCCCCATGGCCACCAGTGTCACCAGCCCCATGTTCCCCCAGTGTCACCAGCCCTGTGCCACCTCTTGATGCCCGCTCTGTCCTGTCTTCATCCTCACTTCACTTCTCATCAGGGACATCTCATCCCCATCCTCATACTCATCATCATCCTCATCATCATCCTCAGGCCAATCCCATTCCAAATCCTACTCCCATTCCAAATCCCATTTCCAATCCTACCCAATCCCCATCCCAATCCCAATCCCATTTCCACTCCTAGCCTTACCCAATCCCATCTCCATTTCCATCCCATTCCCATTCCCATTCCCATTCCCATTCCCATTCCCATTCCCATTTCCAATCCCAATCCCATTCCCAATCCCATTCCCATTCCAGTCCCAATCCCAATCCCAATCCCAATCCCATTCCCATTCCCATTCCAGTCCCACACAATCCCAATCCCAATCTCATTCCCAATCCCATTCCTAACCCCACCCAATACCATTCCCATCCCAACCCCACTCCAGTGCTCACGGCCTCCTCTCCCTGCGGCCGCTGGGCCCGTCCCGTGCCGGGTCCCCCTCCCAACCCCAATCCCAATCCCAATCCCATTCCCATTCCCATTCCAGTCCCAATCCCAATCCCAATCCCATTCCCATTCCCATTCCAGTCCCAATCCCAATCCCAATCCCATTCCCATTCCCATTCCAGTCCCAATCCCAATCCCAATCCCATTCCCATTCCCATTCCAGTCCCACACAATCCCAATCCCAATCTCATTCCCAATCCCATTCCTAACCCCACCCAATCCCATTCCCATCCCAACCCCACTCCAGGGCTCACGGCCTCCTCTCCCTGCGGCCGCTGGGCCCGTCCCGTGCCGGGTCCTGGGCGATGCTCAGGGCGTCCTGGATGGCGGCCAGCAGCCCGCTGCCGCCCTCACCCCGCAGCGCCGGCCCAAAGCACTCGGGACGCCGGATCAGCAGCCGCACCACCACGTTGGCGTTCTCCTCCACGCTCTCCCCTGGGGAACCCCACCCCAAAGGTCACAGGGACACCCCAGGATTCCCAAAACACAAACCCAAAAACCCCAGAAACCCCTTAAATTCCTACACGGGGGACATGGGGGACACAGAGGGACACAGAGGGTTTTGGGGTACAGCAGCATGGGGCAGCTCTGCAGGCCACAGCTCGCCAGGTACGTCACCACCTGCCCAGGGGACACCAGGGACACCAGGGGACACCAGGGGACACAGGGGACACAGGGGACATGGGTGACAAAGAAGGACATGGTGACACAGAGGGACATGGTGACACAGAGGGTTTTGGGGTACAGCAGCATGGGGCAGCTCTGCAGCTCGCAGGTTCGTCACCACCTGGGCACAGGTGAGGGGACACGGGGCACAGGGGACACGGGGGGACACGGGTGTGACACGGGGGGACACGGGGCTGTCCCCACCTTCTCCAGGTCCTGCTCCTTGAGGGCCAGCGCCAGCTCGTTGTTGTCGATGACAGAGGCGGCCGCCACATCCAGGGGGGTGGAGCCCTGCATGCCTTGGGGACAACAGGGACAGCGAGGTCAGGGGACAACAGGGACAGAGAGATCAGGGGACACCAGGGACAGAGACCCCCCCTCAAGGTGTGCCTGGGGACACAGGGACAGAGAGATCAGGGGACAACAGGGACAGAGAGGTCAGGGGACACCAGGGACAGAAACCCCCCTCAAGGTGTGCCTGGGGACACAGGGACAGCGAGGTCAGGGGACACCAGGGACAGAGAGATCAGGGGACACCAGGGACAGAGACCCCCCCTCAAGGTGTGCCTGGGGACACAGGGACAGAGAGATCAGGGGACAACAGGGACAGGGAGGTCAGGGGACACCAGGGACAGAGACCCCCCCTCAAACCAGGGACAGAGACCCCCCCTCAAGGTGTGCCTGGGGACACAGGGACAGAGAGATCAGGGGACAACAGGGACAGGGAGGTCAGGGGACACCAGGGACAGAGAGATCAGGGGACACCAGGGACAGAGACCCCCCCTCAAGGTGTGCCTGGGGACACAGGGACAGAGAGATCAGGGGACAACAGGGACAGGGAGGTCAGGGGACAACAGGGACAGAGACCCCCCCTCAAGGTGTGCCTGGGGACACAGGGACAGCGAGGTCAGGGGACACCAGGGACAGGGAGATCAGGGGACACCAGGGACAGAGAGATCAGGGGACACCAGGGACAGAGACCCCCCCTCAAGGTGTGCCTGGGGACACAGGGACAGAGAGATCAGGGGACAACAGGGACAGGGAGGTCAGGGGACACCAGGGACAGAGAGATCAGGGGACACCAGGGACAGAGACCCCCCCTCAAGGTGTGCCTGGGGACACAGGGACAGAGAGATCAGGGGACAACAGGGACAGGGAGGTCAGGGGACACCAGGGACAGAGAGATCAGGGGACACCAGGGACAGAGACCCCCCCTCAAGGTGTGCCTGGGGACACAGGGACAGAGAGATCAGGGGACAACAGGGACAGGGAGGTCAGGGGACACAGGGACAGCGAGATCAGGGGACATCAAGGGACAAAGAGACCAGGGGGACAGCAGGGACAGACTGGGGGTCACCTACAGGACCCCTGAAGTGACTGGAAGGGACAGAGGTGACAAGGAGGGGTGGCAGGGGGTGGTGAGAGTCCAGGTGGGGGTGGCAGGGAGGGGACAGGGGCATGTCCCCGGTGTCACTCACCGCAAAGGGGTGTCCCCAGGGTAGGTGGCAGGGGGGGGCAGGGAGGGGACACGGCACTGTC